CCCTTTATGTGTCTTCCTTAATCAAGAACATATAAAAGGGGTGTGTGTCTGTATGTGTGTGTCTGTATGTGTGTGGTGTGTACGCAGAGTGACCTTTGAACTGCACAACATGTAGAGCTTCAGAACAGAAATAGGACTCAAATAAATTGCTTCACAGTCTTATGATTAACCAGGGTGCTGTGCTAAATTGTAGAGGGGTCAAGGCAACATCCTACCATGGAAAAGCTGCCCCTTTTATCCGTGCGGCTCCTGGAGTCATGCTTTGTAAATCAATTATCCTGCATCCTATTTACTATTTAAATGGGCCCTTGCCCTAGACTCTTACATCTGCAGAGGTGGAATTGGGCATTCCCCGTCTTGCCAACCCCACCCATGGAAAAATTATGAGTCTGGGCTCCAAAAATCATGAGATTAAAAAAAAAACCACCGTGCGTTTCGCGTTCTTTTTCTTTGCCTTCTGGGTTTTCAGCCTTTAGGGGTCACATTTTGATGCTTTCCCTGCAACCAGCGGCTAGCTATTTCCTTGTTTTGTTTAACGAGAGCTGAGATACTCACCTCACCCGTGATTCCAGGAGCCGAGGCTTTCGGGAAGACACCAGAAAAGGTGAGCGTTGGCAATGCTGCATTCCTGGTTTAGCGTCAAAAGCAACAAAGAGGCCTGTGGCACCTTATAGACTAACAGATGGATTGGAGCATGAGCTTTCGTGGGTGAATACCCACTTCGTCAGAGGTTTCCCCTACCCACCCGCTAGGCATGCGTCGAGACGGGCTGAGGTTATAGAAAGCAAAAAGAAAGTGGACTGGGGGCGGCTGCCCGTTCTAGGACACACAGCCACTGCAATGGGAAGGCTCTGCAGCAGGGGGTGGTTGGGCCTTTAAAAGCCTGTGATCTCGTCTTCATTCAGATTCTCCGACCACTACAGTATAATGAAAGGCCCTATTGTCCCCCCTGGGTGTGGAGAAGGGGGCAGGGTTACAGCTGATTTGGAAGCGTTAGGTAAATATTAGGCTTTTTAAAAAAAAAAAATCTCCCCCCTCCTGCTGCATAAACCGGGGTGTGGGGGAGTCTGGGTTGACCGACTGGCTGTAATCTGCAGCTGGCCCAGGAGGCGGCGTTCAGAGCTAAGGTTACACAGAGCCAGTCACAAGGCCCAGGATTGTCAGGCAGGGCCGGCTTTAGGCCAATTCCACCAATTCCCCCAAATCGGGCCCCGCGCCTAAGAGGGCCCCGCGCCCAGTGGCAGGGTTGCCGGGGTGGGGGCAAGTGGCCGAGAATCCCTTCCCTGGCTAGAGGCTCCTTTTTAATTTTTACTCACCCGGCGGCGCTCCGGGTCTTCGGCGGCACTTTGGCGGCGGGTCCTTCACTCACTCCGGGTCTTCGGCAGCACTTCGGCAGCAGGTCCTTCAGTGCCGCCGAAGACCCGGAGCGAGTGAAGGACCCACCGCCGAAGACTAGGAGCGCCGCCCGGTGAGTACAAGCCCCACGTGTTTTTTTACGTGTTTTTTTTAGTCATCCCTGCCGGGGCCCCGTCGAAACTGTTCGAATTGGGCCCTGCACTTCCTAAAGCCGGCCCTGTTGTCAGGGCTCAGTTTTGCATCCTTTCCTTGTTTTAAACTTTTCTGTGCTGTTCAACGAGCAGCGAAGCAGCCCCCCCCAGTGCCACAGAACTGTGGGGCGTGTCCTACGGGTGTCGTGGCGACAGCACCGTGGGCAAACGCGTATGCCACTCAGCCCAGCCCGAGACAGAAACAGCTGGGTGGCTTTCCTTCCACGAGTCATTGTAAGATGGGGGAGCGGGGAGCTTTTTCATTTAGGGCCTGATCCAACATGCAGTGGCTCCCCTTGGACTTGGGTCAAGCCCTTCCTGGACTCCTGGCCATCACGGGTAGCTGCTAATTACAAACTACAAAAAGCATGCCCTGTAGAAACAGTGCTTGGAGTGATCTGAACAAAAGGGAGGGTCTGTCATAACCTGGAAGCAGCAGCTTTGGCAAGACAGTGATTAAAGTGTGGTCCCTCCGTGACCTGGGTTGATCTAAATGTTGGGGGGTTTGGCCAGGTCTCTGAGGCCTCTACACGCACACACACACACCTACCTCTCTCACTTTAAGCACCGTGTATAAAATTGTACAGCAGCTGGTTGGGACCTCAAACACAACTAAGGATGCCACAGATGTTCCACTGGATCGGGTGTTGGCAGGAGTAGGGCTGAGCAAGCCTGCAGTGCTGGGGAACGGGCACCTCCCACAGAAGCGTTATGAGCGACTTTGGCATTTTCCCCGGAATGAAACGACACACATGAGTCTGAGAGAGCAACCGAGCTAAATGAATCTGTCTCTGGTTCTTATCCAGTCCCCTGTTACCATAGCGTCTGCAATCCTCACAGGCTTTAGTGTATTTAGCCTTGCTACATGAGGCAGGGCAGTGCTGTGACTCCCATTGGGCAGATGGGAAACTGAGGCACAGATAAGCTACGTGAGGTGGCCAAGGTCACAGAGGAGGTCTGTGTCGGAGTTGGGAAGTGGACCAGTCTCAAAGGTACAGGCAAGTGATTTAACCAGTGCACCATCCTTCCTCTCATATCCACCATGCCTGACTGACTAGAACAGACAGCCCATCACAAGGAGTGAGTTCCGCGGGTGGTCAGCGTGGCCAGCTCTTCCAATTTTACTGGAAGTCTTGAGATATTCCAGGTTTTTCTTAGAGCCCCAGCTCCCGGAGTCAGCTGAGAATTTCAGGTTTCATGAAAAGAAATTAAGTTTCTCGCTCTCATGGCTGCTGAGAAAAGTGTCAAAATGCTCAAAAACAGAAGGCAAAGAAAAAGAATCCAACTTTTATTATTATTTCAAATCTTATGATTTTTAAGCAAATCTTGTGATTTGGGGGGCTGACTCAGGATTTTTGAATGGTGGGGCTTCGTTGGCAACATGGAGATGGGGAACCTCAGTTGGGAATGCTGCTTTCTAACCTGTGGATACAAATAGCTGTTCTGTCCTCCGACAGTGGCCAATGTCAGGTGCTTCAGAGGGAATGAACGGAACAGGCAATTATCGAGTGATCCATCCCAGATGAAGATGATACAAAACTACTCAAGCTTGCTAAGTCCAAAGCAGACTGCGAAGAGTTACAAAGGGACCTCACAAAACTGGGTGATTGGGTAACAAAATGGCAGATGAAATTTGATGTTGATAAATGCAAAGTAATGCACCTTGGAAAACAGAATCCCAACTATACGTATAAAATGATGGGGGTCTAAATTAGCGGTTACCACTCAAGAAAGAGATCTTGGAGTCATTGTGGATAGGACTCTGGAAACATCCACTCAATGTGCAGTGACAGTCAAAAAAGTGAACAGAATGTTGGGAATCATTAAGAAAGGGATAGGTAAGACAGAAAATATCATATTGCCTCTATATAAATCCATGGTACGCCCACATCTTGAATACTGCGTACAGATGTGTTTGCCCCATCTCAAAAAAGGTACAGAAAAGGGCAACAAAAATTATTAGGGGTATGGAACAGCTTCCATATGAGGAGAGATTAATAAGACTGGGACTTTTCAGCTTGGAAAAGAGACGGCTAAGGGGGGATATGATAGATGTCTATAAAATCATGACCGCTGTGGAAAAAGTAAATCAGGAAGTGGTATTTACTCCTTCTCATAACACAAGAACTAGGGGGCACCAAATGAAATTAATAGGCAGCAGGTTTAAAACAAACAAAAGGAAGTATTTCTTTGCACAATGCACAGCCAACCTGTGGAACTTCTTGTCAGATGATGTTGTGAAGGCCAAGACTATAAGAGGGGATACATTCCTGGAGGATAGGTCCATCAATGGCTATTAGCCAGGATGGGCAGGGATGGTGCCCCTAGCCTCTGTTTGCCAGAAGCTGGGAATGGGCGACAGGGGATGGATCACTTGATGATTCCCTGTTCCGTTCATTCCCTCTGGGGCACCTGGCATTGGCCACTGTCAGAAGACAGGATTTTTTGGAACTCATAAGAACATAAGAATGGCCCTACTGGGTCAGACCAAAGGTTCATCTAGGTTCTTCTGACAGTGGCCAGTGCCAGGTGCCCCAGAGGGAATGAACAGAACAGAGAATCATCAAGTGATCCATCCCCTGTCGCCCATTCCCAGCTTCTGGCAAACAGAGGCTCGGGACACCGTCCCTGCCCATCCTGGCCCATTGATGGACCTACCCTCCATGAATTTATCTAGTTCTTTTTTGAACCCTGTTATGGTCTTGGCCTTCACAACATCCTCTGGCAAAGAGTTCCATAGGTTGACTGTATGTTGCGTGAAGAAATACTTCCTTTTGTTTGTTTTTAAACCTGCTGCCTATTAATTTCATTGGGTGACCCCTAGTTCTTGTGTTAGGAGAAGTAGTAAACAACACTTCCTTATCTACTCTCTCTACACCAGTCATGATTTTATAGACCTCAATCATATCCCCCTTTAGTCATCTCTTTTCCAAGCTGAAAAGTCCCAGTCTTATTAATCTCTCCTCATACGGAAGCCGTTCCATACAACTCGTGGGTGAAAGTTGGGCGCTAGTCACGGTGCAATCTGGTCACCCACAGCTGCCCCTTGGCTAAGACCTGTGACATCCCTGCCCAAAGGGGGGGTAGATTCCTGGGGAAAGGGCTGGGGGGGCTCTTTGGGAGGAGCCCTGGAATTTCTGTTAGCAGGTAGAGAAAGGGCTTGTGTGCACCTGGAGGAGCTTGTGCCCCCCCGCGCGCCTCTGCCCTGGATATGGGGAGGTCGCAGCTCGGGGGGTGACCCCTTTGGCTAAGATGGGGGCTTATCTGGAGAAGCAGCTGCGCCCCCACGGGGGCGGCAGGGGCAGCGCCCGCAGGAGCCCGTGGTTTGGGTGGGGCTGCACCTGGCTCTGGTGGGTGGGGCGGGGCCGCACCTGGCTGTTCCCCCGCCCCCGTCCGGGACGCTGGCTGCTCGCTCCCCGCCCCTGCGCGCATGAGCTCGCTCCGCTCCGGCTGCTTCCCGGGAGCCCCGCTCGCTCCCCCGAAAGTGACAAACCGCCGGAGCCGGGGACTCGCTCCTGCCCCCCGGCCCGGAGACATGGGAGCGCCCCGCACCTGGGCGCGGTGGGCTGCGCTCTGCTGCGCGCTGCTTTGCGCGCCCTGGCTGCCTCTCGGCTGGGCAGGTAGGTGGGGGCCCCGGGGGGGGGCAGCTTCTCCCCCTCCCCAGCTCCAGCGCCTCTGGGGAACGCAGCGGGACCGGGGTGCCCCCCCCCAGCCCGGACCCCTCTCCCAGGCTGGAGCCGCGGTCTGGGCTTGCTGGAAAGGGAACCGCAGCGCACGAAGGGTCTCTGCCCCTCAGCCCTGCGCAGCTTGCCAGGGTTTGTTTACAACCCATCCCAGGTGACGGGGCTGAGCCCGCCTGGGTCTCCGACCACTGGGGACGCTGCTGGGTCCTGGCTCAGGCTCCTCCCAAGTCCCGGGGTTCAGGGGAGCCCTTTGCAAGGCAGCAAATCCCGCCTGGGGTTCGTGGTCAGCTGCTGCTCTCACTTCCCTGGGTGTCAGGCAGAGCCACCCCCTGGACTGCATGGCTGGGGCTGCGCTGGCCTGGTTCTGTGACCCAGTTCAGTGCCCGTGGTGACCCATGACGGGCTGCCCGCCCCTAGGCTGTGACCCTGCTCAGAGCGGATCTGGGGCCGGTGCCCAAAGCAGCCCTTGTCCGAAGCGCCCAGCGCTGGGGCAGACAATGGACAATGTTCCCAATTGTGGGTATGACCGGAGATCAAAACTGGGCCCTCGGTTTGTGGGATTCTCTCTTTAGGGGGTGGGTCCCTATTTGTGCGGGGTCACTTTCCTTGCTGTAACTTCCAGCTTAAACTGGGCGCCTGTGTTTTCCTGCCTCCTGGGGGACTCGCATGATCTTTTATGTTCTCACCATGCAAATCCAGCACTTGTTTCATTTCCCAAACACAATGCCCGGGGGAGATTTCAATCTCTGAGAGGCGGATGGCCCACAAGAGACTAAATAATTCCTAACCGAGCTCTCCCGCTTCGCTGATTGCCTGCCAATCTGAGAAGAGCGCTTGCAGATCCGCTCACCTTTCTGCAGCTGGGACTTTGTTGCTAAGAACTGGTGAGAGGTGGCTTCAGATCCTAGAGCGCCACAATCTGTTTGTTGGTTTTTCCCTCCAGCTGCCCGATCCCCACTGTAAAGTACCGGAATAGGCGGCATTCAGCAAAATGTCTGATTGGGTCTCTGGGCCTAGCAGGATAAAAATAACTTCAATTTCTAAACCTGCCTGAAACCCTGAGAACAAAGTCCTACTTTCCCATTGGTTACTGTACAAGTTTCTAACGGCTAGGCAAAGACAAGTGTTAGCACCAAAACACTGTCTCCATGGATACAATGTGCCGCTCAGCCTTCCACTTATTGCGGGAAGGTAATTGCCTAATTATTTTCTTTTCCATTTTCATGGTTTGCAATAGCGGGAGTGGCCTGTGGGTCAGGCTCTGCCTGGTGGTTAATGGCCAGCTGGTTTGAAGGACCCTTTGTTTCAACTCAGACCCGAAGCTGCTCGTTAGCTGTCCCGAAATAATCCTTTGCGCTCCTGGAATGCCTTTCAGTCCAGCTTTTCCAAGGGATATGAAATGGCGGGCGTCCCTCCCAGTTTACAAGGGGGTAAACTGAGGCGCAGAGGTTAAGGTCCTCCAGGGCCCCAAACCTCCATGGGTGTGCTGGGCTTTACCCGAGTGGGATCGGTGCCTAGGTTTTTCCAAGGTGATTGCTAATTTTGGGCACTCAACTTGTGATCTGGGGCCTGATTCTTGACAGTGCCGAGTGCCCCCAGCGCCGGCTGTTATCAGCCAGGGTGGCGGGCACTCCGTCCCTCCGAACAACAGGCCCTTGAGGGCTCAGCTTGGACACCCATAGGCAGTGGTGCCCGGAGCCCGTGAACCTCTCCTGAAAACTTAGTACCAAGGCCCCAGTGCTCCGAACACTGAACACGCCCACGTACCTCCTGTCGCCCCCTCGACTCCGGTGCTTCGAGTTCAGCCCAGGCCTACGTGGGCTTCGACGAGGAACCCTGCTGTCGTGACGCCAAAGGGCCTGTTCTAACCACTAGATCACGCAGCCTCCCCTCTGCCCCCTCCTTACTGGCTATCATTGCTTCTATTTGGAACCAATCACGCAGGGGCAGGAGAGTTCTCTGAAAATAAAGATGAGCCCCCGTTCGATACCTGGGTGACTCACTTCATTTCCCCCAGGACTATTTTTTTTAAATGTTGGGCCACGATGAATAAATGCGGGGGACAGGCAGGCACGGTGGGATCCCACGCGTGACAGTGGTTAGACTTGCTAATTCCTATCCAGATGGGGGTGGGGAAGGCAGTGTTCGTAAGCCAGCAAGGGAGGGGGAAGGGAGCAGACCCCTGTTATAAAGAAGCCCGGCCTGGCTGTGGTTCTGGGAGGCAAACGCTGGGGACTGCTAGGCTCATGCTGCTGGGAGATAGGGTGGGCTCTGATTTTTTTTATCTTGCACTGAAATCCAGGTTCTGGTTGTACTCCCTCCCCCACCCCCAAGAGCTGCTCTCTCTGGAATGGACCCCGGCTGTTAGCAAGGATCTGGCCGTTAGCAAGCAAACGGGTCCAGTTTGGGGGAATCGCCACGTAGCATGAAGGCTGCTATTTGTGTAATTATTTCTAGTGACCTGAACTGAGATCAGGGCTCCCTGGGGCTGGGGGCTGTGTGGTCCGGTATCCGGACAGTCCCTGCCCCAAAGAGCTTACAATCTAAGTAGACAAGACAAAGGAAGGAACTAAAGACCCCCATTTTACAGGTAGGGAAACTGAGGCATGGAGCTATTTCAGTGTCTTGCCCAGGGTCCTTCAGCAGCAGAGCTGGCAATAGACTCCAGCTCTCCTGAGTGCCGGTGCAATGCGTGAGCCAGGAGACCAGCCTTTCCTTGTAATTGATCCACCCCAGATGTACCTAATTGAATGGCTTGTATGGGTCCAATCCTGACAAGTGCCGATCGCCTCCTGGGATGTGCCGAGCATTCTCAGTCGCTGATTTCAGGATTGGGACCCACAGCTGCTGCGAATCCGTGGCTGGGCCTAGGGACATCTGGGTGGCTCTCCCGTGACCAGGCTTTGCAAGTGAACTAGGCAGGAGGCCGAAGGAAGCAGGCTGTCGCCTTAGGACAGCAGCCCCAGATGTGGGGCTGGGTAAGAATCCTGCGAGGTCAACATGGCTCTGCCCAGAGCTGGGCGCAGGTGAGGAGTGCTGCAGGGTTGTTCCAGTGCCCCAGCATCCGGAGGGAACTGCCCAGGCGTAGCACAGGGAAGTTGACCCAAATAGTTTTGGCCATTCACAAAAACAACCGGAGGAGGAGGTGATACAGCCACCGCCCCACACACCCTCATGGCCCTTAGCCCGGTGCTTTGTGCAGTCACCGGATATTTAGGGAACCCAAGGCCCTGTTCTGGAACAGCCCGAAACAGACGTCTTCAATTCACTGAAAATTCAAAAAACCCTCAAGTCGGTTCAACCTGGAGTGAGGTTTGTTTTTTCAAAACTGGCTTGGATCCAAAAAAATTAGCCATTAGCCTAGCTGTGTATTAGTGCTTTGAGATCTGTGATTAAAGGGGCAAGGCATGGCTGCGGTGTTCTCTGCTTCTCTGGGAACACCTATAGCTCAGGGCCACAGCCACGTGAGGCACGTGAAAATGAACATCCTGCTTTCAGAGATGGAGAAACTGAGGCCCAGATTTGCAAAGCTGTTTAGGTACTGAAGAGACTTGCCTGAGGCCAGGGAGGCAGTCGGTGTCAGAGAGCTCTGACTCCATCCCGTGCTCAGACCACGGGACTCGGCCTCTCCTGGGTCTAATCATTAGATTCTAATGCACCTAACTTCCAAGAGAGGGCAAAGGCTGGAATGTCTTGACTCTCCAAACGCTTGCCAGGGCCGTGGCGCGCTGGGGCTGAGAGCAGGGCCGCCCGGGGGGGTGGGGTGGGGGGCAAGTGGGGCAATTTGCCCCAGGCCCAGGGCCCCCACCAGAATATAGTATTCTATAGTATTGCAACTTTTTTTATGGAAGGGGCCCCCAAAATTGCTTTGCCCCAGGCCCCCTGAATCCTCTGGGCAGCCCTGGCTGAGAGGCAGTGTCAGCTCAGAGGCCCTGGTATTGTATTGCCCTTGGGGGATGCTGGCCAGGCTCCCAAGAAGGCCCCTGCTCAAGTGCGCTCAGGTCAGAACCGAAGGGGAGGGGGCTGGGGACTGGTCTGTGTCTGTGAAGGCTTCGCTTAGCAGTTCTGAGGTGCCCTTCAACCTTGAGGCCTCACGGCTCCGTGCCCCGTCCTCCAAGCGGGCTAGTTACCCGGCTGCTTGCTGGGACCTGACATCTGGCATCCTCTGGCTTTTGGCAGGAGAGTGCAAACAGCTGGAGCCCTGTGAGAGGTGCATTGAAGGAGACGCTTCCCGGAACATCACCGGCTGCGTGTGGACGCGCTGCGGAGCCGCGGAGGAGCCAGGTACGCTCGGGGAGCCTCTCTAGTTCTCCTGCATTAACCCTTTGCAGCCTGGCCCCATGGGCCCTGCCCGCCAGGAGGTACCAAGCTGTATTCAAACATCACCACCGTCAGCAGGGATCTTAAAACTGTATCCCAAGCCCTCCGTGTGGGGAGAATCCATGGCATGGTTCTCAGACCCTCCCTGGGCCCCGTGACCTGGGAAACGGCTGGAAACAGGCCCTTGGATTGTTCTGCTGGTGGCCTGGAAAGTAGCAGTGTCCTAAGTGTTAGTGGGCCCCGTTCCTTTTGAGCTAGAGTCTATGCACCCCCACCCGGGGTGTTTTCTGAGCCCTTGTGAAAACCCGTCGGTGAGCGTCACACTGGGCGCTTGGAAAGCCTGGCCCGCTCTGCATGCGTAAATGGTGCTGAGCCCCGGCTGTGGGCGCTTTTACACTGGTCAGGCCCCAGGCGCGCTCTCCCAACACCAGCGTCCGCGATGGGTCAGACGCTGCGCCCATCACCATGGTTCCGCTGTCAATGGGCTCAGGACAGAGTTCCCGGCTGCCTTTCCCGGCGGGGGTCTGTCGGGGCTGGTTTGTCCCCGGGCCAGACAGGGTGCTGTGGTTGTATTGGGCTCTGCTAACCAGGCGGGGGGTTAGGCTGAGCTGCGCCTCTGGCTGCTTCCTCTCATGCTGGCAGGTCAGTGGGGAGTTTGTTGCCCTTTGGCAGCTGAATTCCAAGCTTTCTAAGTGACTCGGTGACGGAAGGTTTCTTCACTGCCCGCCTAGTCATGTCCTGCTTCCCTATGGAGACTATCTCCGAGCAATCTCCCTGTCTCTGGTCTCGGTGGGGGATTCTGGGGACCACCCCCATCCACCCACACCCCACCCTGGCTCAACTCTCTAGCGGAGGTGACGACCCCGGTGTAGGCAGAGTTCTCCTCCTTGCGGGATAGACAGAGGGCATGGAGGGGCCCTGGCTGGTTCTATGAGCTGAGGCCTGGTTTCCCTGGCTGCTAGTCTGGCCGTCTCTTCCCATGCAGCGCCCTGCTCGAAAGCCAAACTGAGATCAGGCTAGGGTGACCGGATGTCCTGATTTTATAGGGACAGTCCTGGTTTTGGGGTCTTTTTCTTATATAGGCTCCTATTATCCCCCCACCCCCTGTCCCGATTTTTCACACTTGCTGTCTGGTCATCCTAGGTCAGGCCCAGCAGCCTATTGCGAAAACCTCTGTGGTGCAGTGAGGAGCCCGCCCAGAGGGAGTTGCTAAACGCAGTGGAGAGGCAACAGCTGGCCTGCTGTGCTCTGATTAAGATGGGGGACAAGTGTCTTAGTGGGGGCCCCTCCCCAGTCACATCACATGCACACACAATTACCCAGCATCCCACACACATGACACCTGCCAAAAATCCCATTATCCTCCCACCCTGTCCTGCGCCATCGCCTCCCACGGCTCCGTGAATCACGCTCCCCGGTACCGAGTGCCACCCGCCCCCAGCTGCTTCTACTGGCGGGTGCAGCCTGCTCCCTCCGCTCCCCCACCTTAAAGGCCTCTGGCTTTAGGCGTCACACCTCCAGCCCCACCACCGGCCGACAGCAGCAGCGCCACCTGGTGGCCAGGGCAGGGCTGGCAGGTTGCTAGCTCAGTCAGCCGTGGCTGGCGGTGCTTAATTTGTAAAGACAGAAGTGCCGGGGCTCAAGCAGTAACGCTGGCATCCTCTGCACAGCATGGCCTTGCATGCCACCGACAGACGAGATGCTGGGGCAGAGCCCTGCCAACCCCAGGCACAAATTAAGCTCTGGTGGCTGGGCAGCCCAGTTCCCCCAGTGAGCAAAGAACAAACTCCGCTCCCTGCTTTGTTGTCTACCCCATCCCACCCGACGCACACTGTGGCCAGCAGAGTCACTTTCCGCTCCGGCTGTCCCATTGCTCTGACTGGGGCACCGAGGGGATCAGGCCCAGCTGGGCAAGGGGAGGTGCATTGTCCCTTTCAGAGCCGAGCGAGGAAAAGTGACAGACCGGTGACTGCGTGAGGGTCTTTCTCGCGCGTCCGTGTAATTCATTCTCTCGCTTCTGTCCCGCTACGCAGTGTGGCGTGAGCTCTCTAAGCTGGAGGCTTTGCAAAGTCCCTGCTCTGTGACCCATGGAAGACACTAGGTCTTTGCTGGGGGGGAGAGAACTGTCTCTTTCACATCTCACCCTGGTGCTTTAAAGCCCAAGGCCCAGCCAGCCCTGAACAGAACAGCACCCGGCATCTTTGTTTTCTGGGTGGGTGTTGAGTTTCCGAGTCCTGTTGCTTTGGGAGGGGCTCTGGCTGCTTCTGCTGCTACCTTCAATAACAACTGATGTCATGGGGGAGGAGGGGAGAAGCAGAGATAATGGAATTGAAAATCCTCCACTTCCCAAAGGGTGGGGCAGAGAACAGAGACAGAAGAGCATGTGGCAAGAGTAAGCCGACCCCACTGGCCCAAGCACATGGACCTGCAGAAAACCCAGTAGCTTAATAATACCTGCCACCTTGTTTAAACTCTTTTGGGAAGCCCTGGCTCGTTCAGTGACTTTAACTAGAGTAACCCGAGTCCATCTATTTGGAGATCACGTCACCTGCTGGTAACATGCAGCCACCTCTGGGGTGAGCTGCATCAGATTCTGCTCTGCTTGCAATTCAACCATGACCTCTTGCTCCAGAAGTGGCATCTGAATGGCTTGTCGGCGTGGCCGACAAGCCCGTAGGCTGCCTCTCGCTCTCCAGGAACGGGTTTCTGATGTGCCGTGCTCGGTCCAGCTGCCTGTTTGTCCAGCTATCCTCATCCAGCCGCCATGTGCCGGGGTGGGCTCCTGCCAGGTTACGGGGTCTGCAGTGAAGCTATGTAAGGGTCCAAAGGGGATGGAGCTAATGCAGCTGAGCTGAAACAAGGGTTGTGATTTGAGTTCCACGGGATCCAATTGATCCCAAATAAGCTGGAATTTGTGGTTAGGTGTTTAATGCTGGAGAGAGCCACGTACAGGGACAAAACAAAGGGAGATGTGATCCCCTTGCTGTTCCTCCACCCTCCGGGAACTGAAATATCCCCAAGGGTGAGAGCCAGTCTCTGTCTCAGCCCACGACGGGGCTCTCCGGACTGACAGCTGCTGGGGGAATTGTCAGTACAAACCGTGGACCCTAGTGGAAGCTGCATGGATCCGATGGGGGGAGAGGTTTGTCGGTCGTCCAAGCAACGCTGCCCAGGAAGGCGTCCCAGCAGGAGATCGTGTTCCAAGCGCGACGCCGTCTGCACAAGCTCTGGGCGTGATGCTGGGCAGGGCAGGGCCCTGGGGGAGCAGAGGCTGCTGATGCAAAGTTGGAACGTGCCAGACTCAGAGCCCGGATGCTCATTTGGGCTGGTGTGGACTGAGCCCTTAGGCGCTGCTTCCCCAACTCTCGTGTGCGGCTGACCACGCTGACCATGTGGTCTCGCTCGCTGTCTCCCCACGCCAGCCAGGAGTCGCCCACTCAGAGCCCCCTTCGCGGGGGGAATGGCAGGGGCTTCTAGGGGGCAGGTTTGCTCAGGGGAGTTTTGTGAAAGGTTTTCCCTGCTGGTTTTTCCTGTTTCCTTCAGGGCCCGGGGGCTGCATTGGGAAGGGAGAAGCCACCAAGGAGACGTGCTCTGTCTACAATGTCACTGCTACCTGTCCAGGTAACTTCCCGGGGTGAACGCAGCAGCGTGAGCTATGGGTGGAGCACAGCACTGGGCCTCGGGAGACCTGCATTCTACCCCGACTCGGATGCTGATTTATTTTCCCATCTGTAAAATGGGGATAATATTCCCCCTTCTTTGCAAGGCGCTGTGCGAGCCGATGGTCTCAATGTAAGTGCTGGGTGATATTATTATTTATTTATCTGCTTTTGTGTAAGAGAATCCACACTCCATTGCAGGAGCAACAGCTGTGAAACCAGTCCCAGCCTCTCCCAGCAGGGGGCGCTGTAGGGAATGGGGCAGGAGCAGTGGCTGTGGGGGAGCTCACAGCTATTCCAGTCCCCGACTCTCCCAGTAGGGAATGGGGCAGGAGCACTGGCTGAAGGGGGAGCTCCAGTCCCAGCCATGGTGAGAGCCAGCGAGGAACTCTGGCCTCTAAGCGCCTCGTCTTGTTCTTCCACCCTCAGCGCGGAGATCGCCTACCAAGGAGCCTCCGCGCGCATCCACCAAGGAGACTCAGCGAGCGTCCACCAAGGAGCCTGAGATCCTCACCCCAGGCAAGTGGCACCCGTTGGGCTGGGGAGGGAGTGGCCGGCCGGGGATCTAGGGTGACCAGCAGTGGCCGGCTGGAGAAGAGGGAAGTTCTAATGTGTGGTTCTTGCACCAGGCTCAGGTCAGCGGGGAGGAGTCTGGCGGGTTTGTTGTGCTGAGAACACGCGCCCTTCCCTCCCGCGTCAGGGGAGGGAGACACCCGTGTACTAACCTATAGGCACAGTTAACTGTGATTTGTTCGTGCAAACAAGGTCATCGCTCGTGCAGAGTATCACAAGTTGATCAACTTGCACACTCGTTTTGCATGTGTATTTGGGGTCCAAACGTTTGGAAAAGTCAGGCCTGGGCGCAAGTGAGAGAGAGACATCTGCTTGTATATAGAGACTCTCCCAGCATTGCTTCACTCCCCACTAAAATGCGGCCGAGTCCTGGGTGGAGCGGCCCCCAGCACCTGTGAGACCGGTTGCAGCAATGCAGCATGGGATAGGAAGAGAATACTGCCTCCAGCTGAACCTGCCGGGGGAAATGAAGGCAGGCGGAATGTAACGGGAACAAATGCTCTTTCCAGTCCCTTGCTCGTAATAGGCTCTTGCTGCTGGGGTGGGTAACCAGGAGGGAGGATGGGGAGCGGGATGGCAGTGTTATGAGAAGGAGGCTTTTTCCAGGAAGGAGAAGCAGGAATCAGAGAGCTTTCAGCTAATTAAAACGAGTAACCGTATCCTGGAGCTTTGTGAATTATTGATCCAGCCCAGGCTCTGCTGGGCAGTTGCTCTCTTTAGCGGAGCAGCCGATGGCTTCTCTTCCCAGTCCTCCCATTCTGCATGCCGCTGGTTCGCTCTCTGCTCCCAGACACGCGCACACAGTCTCTGCTCTGCAGTAAACTCTCGGCTACAGCAGGGGGGCTGGACAGAGGAAAGGGCTGGCATAGGGAGAGCACTGAAAGGGTCTGTAGTGTGCATGGGGGGCCTGAAGTGTCCCCCCCCCCACCTCCTTTGCATTTCACTCTGTTATAAAACAAGTCAGGATGCAGAGCGCTGCTGCGCTGCGTTCTCTGCCCCTTCCTCTCACCTCTGCCTACAGATGGGTCTCGTTCTTCTTCACCAGTCAACAGGCTGCTGCGTCGCCATCAGCTTCAGTGCATGAGATGCCCTCTGGGCTTGGGAGACTAGGTTACAATAGGAAGCCCAGCATGCTGGCTGCGCTGGAATGCAGCCACCTCTGGGGAGGAGGGCAGCCGCCTACTCATACGCTGCACCACAGGTGGGGTGGGGAAGAAGAGATGCTGCTGGCCAAAGAGAATGGGGGAAAGTGCCATGGGATCTGGAGTGACCCTTGTCCCAAACAGCCGGGACCTCAGCTTCATCTCTGATGGCCCAGTCCCCCTGGCACCATGCTGGGGCATTGGTGGAGAGGGCAGTGTTCTCTCGAGGTGGAATGCCCCTCTGAGTTCCTGGAGAGCTTGAGGTGAGCCTATTCCAGAGCCTGGGGCATCTCCTGACTCTTCCTCCTGCCCCTTTCCCTCCATCACTGCCCAGGGAAGCCCTGCTTAGCCAGGGGCAGGAGAGGGGTGTTGCCTTCAGCACCAAGGACAACATACCTACTCTCCGGGCTCGGGGCCCCAAGGCGTGTGTGTGTGGCGTCAGGCCCCAGTAACGCCATTGCTGCTTCCCCCCCCCCCAGGGACGACGGCCGGCCCCCCGCGGACCGCCACCTCCGAGTTCCGCCCGCCTGGCTTCGACTCGGCCAGCTTCGTGGGGGGGATCGTCCTCGTGCTGAGCGTCCAGGCCGTCTTCTACTTCATCGTCAAGTTCCTCAAGTCCAAGGACAGCACCTACCAGACGCTGTAAGCTTCCCCCCCACACACACACTGTCTGCCTTGGCCAGGCTTGGCCCTGGGGCTGGAGAACCACTCTGATCCCGGGAGTGGCTGGGGGCGAGCTCTGCTGTGTGTGATGGGGCGTGGAGGGAGACCCACTGGTGCCACAGGCTCGGCATTGACCCACCCATAGCTGTACGTGGGGCAGTTGCTAGATCCAGCCCGGGGGGGGGGGGGCGTAGCACTGTCCGGCTCCCATCTTTCCACCTGTTTAGACAGCACCGACTGCAATCTGTCTAGAGTCGCCGTGGGTACGTTTCCCCCGCCACAGCTAGGCAGTCGTGCGCATCTGGGGTCTCTGCACCTGCTCCCCAGCGCGCTGTGAGATCCTTGTGTGTCTGTCTCTGGCAGCTGCGCGCACGTGGCCGCATGTGGCGGCTCCTCCTCTGTCTTGCTCATGGCCGTGCATTGTTGGTTCACTCTCATGCAAACCCCGCTGTGAACCTTTGTGTTCTCCCTCTCTTTCCCCTGTCCCAGCCGCACTGGGGCGTCCGCTCCACCTCTCCCTGCCCCGTGGAGGCCAGGTCTCCCCAGCGCGGGCTCTCCGTGAGCAATAAACCCCAGCTCTCCCTCTGGTGGAGACTCTCCTCGGCCGTGTTTCTCTCATCTGGTTGTTTTTCTGCCTCCTCATCCATCTGTTGTCGCCGGTTCATCTCTGGGGTGCCTGCCAGCTGGCTTCTCCCCTCCCCGGATCATCCCCCGTTTCCTGCCATTCGCAACAGAGAGGCAGGATCCGGGGACCCAGCCCCTCGGAGAGCTCGTTCTGCTGCGGAGCCGGAGCCCTCGCGCTGATCGGGTCCGTGGCCTGGCCGGGGCATGCGGGGATGGGCCGGAGCTGGGAAGTGGCTGTTTGCAAGAGGGGAGGCTGGGCCGGAGTCGCTGACGCTGGGTGAAACGGTGGCTCGCTCTTTCATCCCCCGGTGCGTCTCCAGAGGCTCTGGGCGGGGCCCCCTCCACCCCCCCCCCCCCCCCCCCAACACCCACACTCCTCTGCTTCTCCCCAGCCTATGCGCTCCTCCACCTGCCGGCCCATCCATTTTGCCCCCTTCCCCTTTGGCCTGACTCCCCTGCCCGAGGTACCAGGCCCCATGTAGGGACTGACCTCTGGGCGTGCCCTAGTCCTGGGCACACGCTCGCCTCATTTCCCCTCGGGCCCTGCCTCTCTCCGCCCCAGTCCCGGCTCAGGGACCTTCTCTCTTGTGGGAACAGGGCCCCTGCCTCCCTTCACACCCCATAGGAGCGCGTGGAGGGCAGAGGCTCGTGCTGGGCCGGTGTCTAATGTCAGGGGCCGTCCCCTCTCTCTGTTTCCCTTGCACGCTGCCCGGCGCCAGGGAGGAGAACCAGTAGGTGTTGCTGTATGGCTCTGTGTACACGTGCAAGGCGGCGGGAAACGCAACAAGAGAAAATGTCGCCCTTTCTTGGAGCTGCCTGTGGGTGGGGGTGGAGGGTGTCTCCAGGGCAGCGTGGTAGCCCAGCCTGCCCCCTCCCTGCCGGTGTGCTGTGCAGAGGGGGCACGCAGGCCTTGGCTAGCCCGTTGGCTTGTATTAAAATGCTGTCTCCTTGCCCAAAGGCAGGGCCGAGGTGCTCCACTCAGGAGCTGGGTAATGCCCCCCCTTGCTATTTAATGGGACGCTACCCACTTCCTATCCACCACCACGGCCCACTGCTGTCACAAGCATTTTCTTGGCGGGCGTCTGGCCGTCTCTCCCCCCTGCCCCAGCCCGTGCGCTACAACAAGGCTCTCTGCTGTCGTAGCAGTTCCCAAACAAGCCCCTCTGTGGACTGGGAAATTCCCCGCCCCCCCCCACCCCATGAAGCGTCCTCAGTCTGGCTCCAGCTTGGCTTTGTGCAGCCAGGCTGTGGTGAAAGCGTGTGCTTGTGCCCCGCCCGATTGGCTTCCCCGGTGCTCACGTGGCCCTGGTGAGGGAGAGTGGAGTGGAGTGGTGGCGTTAGAGTGGGAGTGCTGGGTTCTGTTCCTGCCTGTGCCACTGGGCTCCCTGCAGAACCTCCGTGCCTCAGTTTCCCTGGCTGTCCAGTAGTAATAGCTACCTGTAACACGCTGTGGGGTCCTTGGCTGGAAGACGCCAGAGACGACGTTACAGGGGCGAAGCGGCACGTCATATAACAATGAGACGAGCCTCTGAAATCTGCGGTGGAGTGTGTCCGGCTGGGAGCAATTCTGCACAGCCCTTCTCCCGGCTGTCCCACGTACGCTCAATGGAGCGGGCAGGGTCTGTTCTCTTAGCACTGTAGTGCCTAGAAGACCTGAGTAAGATCAGGCCCCCCTGGTGTCAGGGGCTGTACAGAGGCTCAGTGAAACACAGACCCCGCCCCAAAAGACTGTCTTCAGTAGGGAAGACAAAGGGTGTGGGAGAGGAAGGATCATCCTGGTTTTACAGAGGGGGAACTGACTCCCTGCGAGCCCATCGGCCAGACTGTTCCAGCGAGGTCAGCCCCTCCCATGCTGGGCACTCCTGAAAATCTGGCCCGAAGCGTGTGCCGCCCGGACTCGATGGCACAACCACAAATCGAATCCAGGTCTCCTGAATCCCAGCCCGGTGCCTTATCCCCGAGCCCATCAGCCCCCCCCCAACTGGGGTGCAAACCGGGTCCAGCTCAGAGCGGGTCTTGTGAGCTCTCCCTCCGGCGATTCCTGCTGCCGGGGCTAGTCGGGGGGGCAGCGAGATGCCTGCCCCTCATGTCTGCCCCCCCCCCCCCCCCCCGAGCAGTTTCCAAATAATCCTGTCCCTTCATTTCTCACTTGATTGCTGAATCCCCAGGAGGATTTTTGTTCTCTTCACTCCCCCTCCCGCCATGTGGCAGGGCAGGCGACGCTAGGAGAGAGGCATTGCTGGTTCGCTGTGAGGCCATCTCTAAAATACCGGGCGCTCCTGGCCGCTGGCATCCCCTCCAGCCAGCGGCTCCCCGCTCCGTCTGGATGGCAGCCGCCGCCTAGGAGCGGGGTCTCTCCGAAAGGCAGCTTAGCGGCAGATGGCTCTGAACCCCGAGCCAGCAGCACGTCTGCCGGTGTCGCTTCGTCCCCCCTTCCCCAACGCACCCGTTGCGAGGGGAAGGTGGGGTGGTTAAAGGGGTGTGCGCCCCTTCCCGCCAGGGCCGTCCCGGGGGGGGCAAGTGGGGCAATTTGCCCTGGGAGGGGCCCCCAATGAGAATATAGTATTCTATAGTATTGCAACTTTTTTTTATGGAAGGGGCCCCCAAAATTGCTTTGCCCCAGGCCCCCTGAATCCTCTGGGCAGCCCTGCTCCCCACTCCCCACCCCCCCCAGCTGTCCGTGTGCTCTTGCTGTGCCGTTGTGTTGCCGTGTGGGTCCCTGGGGGGCGGCTGGGGGCATGCTGCGTGCAGTGGGCCGAAGCCTTGTGAGCGCGGAATTAAAGTTGCGCGGTTTGATTTCTCCGGGGTGGCTGTTTGTTGCTGGGCGGATCCCTGCACGGGCTGGAGGGGCCGGGGTGGGAGGGTGGGTGTTGACAGCTCAAGGCATGGAAATCCCTTGGCACAGTTAGACGGGCCCAGGCAAACTGGGCTGACCCACCGGGCGCGGGGGGGTGCTGCTGTATCAGGTGTCTGGTTCCCCTGCCCCGCTGGGCTGCGAGGCCGAATGGATGTCTGTCCAGGTGTGCACCCCTGCTCCAATAGAAGGGTCTGCGGGAGACCATCTCCAGCACCCGCCGCAGGCGTTAAGTCCTGGGGGGCCGGGGGCACGGCTGAGAACGTTTGGGTTTTCAAGGGCGGGGGGCAGAACAACCGGCCCGGGGGAAGCAAGGAGCCGTGTCCCTGTGCTTCAGGCAGCCTCTGAGAAATGGCTTTCGGGGGGTAGGAGCAGCTGCTGTGCATAATTGGCCTGTTTCCCTGAAAGCAACCCTGTATCTGTCTGCGTCTGTCCGTCCCCCACCCACGGTTTATTTGCCCGTCTAATGACATTACCCGCTTGGGGCCAGATCGACAGCGGGCGTCTCCGCTCTGTGCCAGCCCTGGTTTAGGGACAGAGGAGGCTCCTCAGCCGAGAGCTCCCTTGGGAAAGCGGGGGGGTCCTTGCAGTGTGGAAGCTGCTATGGGAAGGGAGGGGTGTCTTTTCCTAAGGGGAGCGTGATTGCTTTGGTACGTTGCCCCAGCGACAGTCTGGGTCCCCTTTGCCCACATCTCGCATCCGTCTCCTGGAGGGGGAGTCCTTCTCGTCCCCTAGAGACGTGGTATCTCGGCCCAGACAGGCGCTTGTTTTAGACTCCTTGCTGGGAACAGCCCTGTCACTTCACAGCAGCCCTTGGACCTTGCCTCCCTGGGCTGGGAGTGAACCAGCGACCTGGTGGTGAAGGGTTCCTGGTGCTGCCAAGCCCCTAGGGCATCCAGTCCTGTCTGGGACAGCAGCCTGCTGGGGTGTGGAACGGCGGCAGCGATTGCGGTGGCACTCGGCCCCCGCTGGTGAGCTCTCTTCTTTGTCCCACCGCCTTAGGATCTGACGGCCGCTGCCCAGGGCGGGGCGGTGAAGTGGTTTCCTGTGGGAGGAGGAATGGACGACGAGGCGGCCGGTGCCCCGGCTGCCCTGCTTGCTCTCGCCCGCGCCCCCCTCCCTCCTTGCTGGGGCAGGAGAGCTGGGCGCCGCGGAGCTATGCAAAGCGCTACCAGGCCGGGTCCTCCGGGCTCGGAGCCGTGTCGTGTCCATTAGACTCGCCACGGGGAGGGCTGGCCCCAGAGCCCCGGGGCCACACGCGCTCCAGCCAAGCCTCAGGCCAGGCAGTCCCCAGCAAGACCTGATGTCGCTGCCTTGTTTAGGAAGCTCAGGGTGCCCTCCTGGCCCTGCTCTCTCTGGATGGATGGACCCCCGGGGCTGACAGGCTCAACCCACCTCGCCGGACCCTCCACGGCGCAGCTCTGCCTCCCTCTAGCTCTGTTTGATTGTTCCTTCCCCCCCGTGGGGGCTGGCAAGCTCCCCTTTCCTGCTGGAATTCCAGTGGGTGGGGGTGAGGGGGGTGAAGCTGGGTCAGCCAGTCACTTGGCCTTCACCTTCTGTCTGCTGGAGGAACGTGCCCCCCCCACACACACAGGCCCTGAGCCCCCTGCCCCACCCTGGCCTGTAACTTCCCACCAGCCTTCATCTTTGTAACCCCTGCCCAGTCGGGCGGACCAATCCTCAGACACAAGGGCTTTCCCAGGCTACGGGAGCAGGAGAGGTCTCCCCTAGGCTCAGGTGAGCTTCGTGCTGTTCCTTCCAGAGATCTCAAGGGACCCACAGCTGGTTTCCTCTTTAAAGGTGGCCTAAGGGCCCCCCCCCGGATGTTCCCCAGTTCCTCTCTCTGGTGCCTGCCAGCTGGCTTCTCCCCTCCCCGGGCCCGCTCTGCTCTGAGGGGGCTGTTTGGGTTATTCCCCACGCTGGCTCCATTTCCCTGGGGCTGGCGGGACTCTGGGCTCCGACCCCCGGCCATGCAGCGCTGTGGGAGGATGGAGTCATTGCACGCAGAGGAGGCAAATAAAAGCACTTTCTTTTTCTTGGATCTTTGGTGTCTGGGTCGTGTATGGGAGTGACGGGGGCTACGTTACACCCAGTGCCCCTGTAGCCTGTCGAGCAAGTTTGCTGCACCTGGGAGCCCCCCCCCACCCCCCCCCGCTCTGGTGGTGGGGTCTGGCACGTACACCTGGGACGGGGCGGTGGGTGGTTCGTTCTCGCCCTCGGCCTGCTGACAATGGGGGCTGTTCAGTGATGGAGGCAGGCACATGCCTCTTTCCCCCATGCTGCCCTTCTCTAGGGCCGCTGGCAGGGAGCCAGGCTGCCTAACTGCACTGCTGCCCCTGGGCCTGCCCCACGGCCCCTACGCCCTGAGCAGCAGTAAGGCCCTGGTCCTCTGACTATGCTGAATGCTCAACCGGCGTCCAAGTGGAGATGGACGTGGGGGTGTGGTGGGGAGGTGCTGCGCTTGGAGAAGCAATGGCTGGGGCTGGAAACGGTCTGCCTAGCCCCGCTGGGAGTGAAGGACTCGGTCTGGGTTCTGCTCTCCTCCCTGTTATTCCTAGGAAGAGAAACCAAACCACTTAGGGATGTGAGCTTTGGACCCCACGGGTGGGGAAACTGAGGCACGCAAAGGCAGCCAGAGCAAGGCCTTCGTTTCAGAGCTGGGCACCGAGCTCACGACTTCCTGGCTCCCAGCCCTGTGCTCGGTCGCACCTTGTATTTGAACACTGAAGCCTACGGCTGTCAGCCCGACCCGGTCCTCAGCACAGAGCGGGCCTGCCCCAGCTCGCTCCTGTGTCTCCCCTTTGCAGGGCGTTGTTATGGCATGTGGCCTAGGACAGGGGGTCTCACAACACATTTTTGGTGGCCTCAGAGTGCGGCCACCAACTCTGGCTGGGGGCTGCACTGACATTTTTTCCTGAAATACTTAATGAACTTTAGGGAAAACAAATAAATATGGGCATGTACACAGCCAGAGCATTGTCATTGCTTTATGCCGGGTTTTTTGCATAATCCATAATAAAAATAATGCTGTGAAAAGTGATATTGGTATGTTTGTTAATATCACTTTTCACAGCAAGTTAAGACCTGGATGGAGGAGGGGGGGGGTGAGGCAGCAGGGGCCAGGGAGGGAGGATGGA